TGTAATCGCTTAGCAGCTATAGGTTTATGTGCCTCACTAGCGTACCGCACAATGTGACAGAAAGTATTTTGAGGCGAACCATCCTAGATCACCTTACTTCCAACAACTTGATGTCACCAGGTCAACACGGGTTTTTCCAGTCCGTTCTTGCGCGAAGAAATTCCTCGTATTTATGGATAGCTCGAACCAAGCCAAAGACGAGGAACTAATATCAGGTGCCATATTTTTCGACTTCACAAAAGCATTCTATCGAGTCCAACACATTTCTGCTCCAAAAACTGAAGTCCCACGGGATTCGGAGGAAAATTCAACAATGGATTAACGCGTTCCTATGAAACAGAACATCCGAGTAAAGTTAGGCTTGACTTACCGAAGTACACTCATTTGCAGACAAATTTGGTTTTGCGACAGACGCACCTTAAACCCAGCTGAATCTATGGACGTACTCTACTTCGGCGTCGGTCTCCAATGAAATTCCTCGAGTCCCAGTTCTGAGACCCCTTCTGTTTCTGATCAGCGTCACTCACTGTCCAGAGTGTTTTCTCAAGTCAACGCCTACCTTTTGAGGACGATTTGAAATCGTGAAGTTCAAATACCAGTGCCGTCCAAATGAATGTAGATGCTTCAGAGCAGTGAATATAGGCTGGCACCTTCTTCTGAATGACGAAAAGTGCGTCCAGATATCATCCGAAGGCGATTCAGTCATCGCATTTATCGTGCATGGTGAGAATGGACCAGAAGATATCACGAGGATGGATGCCAAAGAGGATTTGGGTGTTCGGCTCTATTCGAACATGTCCTTTTTGCTGCACCATGAGAAGTCCACTTAAAAGGTATTCACCGCTCTACAGACGGTCCGTCGCTCCTTCTCCCGCAGTTCACGCAAAAACTTCCAAATACAGCATGGGCCTACGCCAGGCCGCTTCCTAAACACGCCAACCACGTTTTCTAATTAGGGCACAAAAAGGACGTAAAGCTCATTGGCTGTGTCCAGCGAGCTGCTTGAAAAGATGGTTTCCACCTTCGAATCCGTGGAGCATGAAACGCGTCTCGCGGCGCATGATCTTCCCATGGAATTTCGTTGATTCCGAGGAGGCCTAATTCTCGCTTGTGCCCTGACTGAAAACGGATCGGTCAATAACGTTTTTTATCGTAGATCTTGCAAATTTACGGCGGAGACATGGTTAGATTTTCGAATTCAGAGCGCGCACATCCTCAGGCATGCTACAACTTGTATCCAGTTAAAAACATTAATAAACATTTTGTGCTCGCCATCTCGCTGGAAAACATACCGCCACGCGCTAAGAACGTAGAGAGCGGTGCTTTATCCTTCTTCGCTTGTAACTTTCGGGTAGCGGCCAAACGACAAGAACAAAACCGGCCCAGGAAACTTTGGCGGAACCCTAAGGAACGCGACCATCATTGTTGGGCACATTCTTCAACGAAAGTCTTCATGACACAACCGACCACTCTATTTGTATCGCCATGGATTTGCTAAATGAAGCTCACGCGAGCTATGGTTCTGAGGTAACAGTGCTCAAAGCTCTGCAGGCATTCCGGTTCCGCTGCTTCGGAGGGCCGCATCTCACGACCATACAAAATAACAGCTCCCTACTTTGTCCTGATACACACGTCCCTTGCGATTAAGGGGTTCGCCACTTTGCCTCGATCGGTGTCCCCAGTTGGCAACTGCGAATCGAACCTTGCAGGTATCTGCACTAACTCAAGCAGTCACACCAAATCGTAAATAATGCAAATTTCAAGATATGAAGAACGCTTGGCCAATTCGAGTGTCGTTCCCCGGGTTGCAACTGGTGTGTTCAGTGACTGCATGTCCACGAGCATGAACCTGCACTTTGTGGGTGCAAATTGCACGCCAAAGGAAGGGATAAATTTGGTCAGTTCATGAAAACACCGGAGCCTTTTCCTGCTCTCCGAAGACGAGAGCGATGCCGTCTGCATATTCAGATGAAAGCGTTTTTTAGGGGCTTTTTGAACGCGGAAGTTTTAAACAGCTTCCAGATTTTGTCTTATTATCTCATCGATCACGAATTTAGGTATCATTGGAGAGAGTGGGAATAAACACCTTTATCATTATTTTCTCTGACGGACGCCACTTCACATAACAATGGATCTATGGAACTCTGCGAATGCTCCACACACTCCCACTTGTCTGACAACGCCAAGAACTCATAATGTTCACAGACTGTCTGGCATACGTTACGTGGCAATCATGTTGACGAGAACAGGACAGCCGACCCAGTCTGTTGCACATTTGCAACTTAGAGATCCTAATACTGTGGGTCGTTCATGTATATGGCATTGTTTTAGCCCCTAAGTGTTGAGCTTCGCGATGCGGAACTTTGGGTGATGCGTATTTTCGACAATATCGAATGGCGAAATGAACAACTGGGTTACTGCGGTACCATTTACACAAGGGTAAGCAAATATGTGCAACGAACCCCAATTGTTCTCGTTCGTAGAGTCAAGTTCACAGGTCTGTTATTGACCGGCATAGTGCATTGTTTACATCTGCACACTAAACAACGACAAGCGGAATATAGGCTCAATAATGCAGGTTGCGCGTGTCCGTTTCGATGACCGTCTCGCGATTCTCATTGGTTGTGCGATCACACGGAACTCGTGAGCAAACAAGTTCATGCTGGCTCAGCAAGCGAGACAAGAACGCGCCTGGGTAAGTGGGTCAGTTGCGCACACTCAGACACAGACAAATATGCTAATACACAAGTGGCGGACAGCTATGTGGCAATGTGAGTGGTGGATAAAAACAAGTAGAAGTCAAAAATATATAGGCGCACTAGGCAAATCAATGGGGAAATTATCACCAGGTTAGATTGGATCAAACACTGACTGAGCGTGAAAATTTGGTCAACGCAACCAGTAGGAGACCTGGAGCTTGATTGCGACTCTCGAGTCAATGTTTCAGAAGGAGAAATCCTTTACCCATGAAACGGGACTATTCTTTGCCGCGAATTCCTTAATCATCAGCTACATGCCAGGTTGTATAACATCATTTCTCCGTAAAACTGAACGAAGATGCCATGAATAAACCATGGCTGGATTAATTGTTGGCCTTAGAATTGGGAATTAGTATGCAACGAATATGGGAAGAAGCCCACAGAAACCAGTGTGTTCGGAGGCAAACCTACGGAACCGCCGCTGGCTATTCGCACAATGAGATTGATTTCTCGAAATCTACGGCATTTTCAGACTTGCCACTTCATAGTGTAGAATGTCTATGTATAAGGTACATGCTCCTGTATTATTGAAAATCCTTTACTATGGCGATTTGTTTAAGTGAACTAAATCTGCAGGTGAATAAACACCGCCGACTTTGAATACCTTAACGGATGAAAAAAATCGCGAATTGTGGAAAAGTTTGACTCACATACAACGAACGTAACTTTCGGGTATTTTTCCACCGGAACAGACTTCCTCAACATTCTAGAATCTAAATGGCCTTTGGGGATGCAACTTATGCGCAGGCGCATTCGTGCAAACAACTTTTGGCCGATGATTCCTTGTTGCCAGTGGTGCACGCTAATTATTTGCT